GGGGGGGGGGAGCTGGTCATGTCTCTTGGCTGGTAACACACAATGACATAATGTGAGGAGTCTAATAGAGGTTGATGGCTCCTGACTCCCCCCACTAGACACATTACATCCCCCCATTACTGTCTACTGACAGAGGAGGGGGGAGAAGAAGAGATTGTTGTAGTGACTGAACAAGGAGAATCTGGGACTCTTCTCTGGATTTACTGTTTATTCCTCACCTGTGCTGATCTCTGGAGAACGTTCCTCCTTCTTACACAGCTCATCATCACTGACGAACATGTCATCTCCATCTTCAACTTTGATAACAATCAGTCCCTTGTTCTAGATAAACGCAATACAACATATTTATATTGACATCTGGATTTCAGACAAATATTAGTTTTCATTACGAACCTTAGTTCCATCGTGTTGATCATCCTTTGAGATCATGTGATACTCTTGTAGGGAATCCTTGGCATACAGAGGACGGGTCTGAGGGATCTCCTGATGTTCCTGTGAGGAGTCCTGGGAATACAAAGGACGGGCCTGAGGGATCTCATGATGTTCCTGTGTGGAATCCCGGGAATACAGAGGACAAGTCTGAGGGATCTCCTGATGTTCCTGTGAGGAGTCCTGGGAATACAAAGGACGGGCCTGAGGGATCTCATGATGTTCCTGTGTGGAATCCCGGGAATACAGAGGACGGGTCTGAGGGATCTCCTGATGTTCCTGTGTGGAATCCCGGGAATACAGAGGATGGGGACATCTCTCTGGGGTATTTCTGTTCCTGGACCCATCTGTAGGAAACACACACACTGACTGAATACAATGTTTCTATGTCTTTATATCAGAGGATGTGTGTATCTAGGGGGATCCTCAATACTCAAGAAATGAAAGTCTCCTCTTACCCGGTGATGTGAGGGGCAGCCGGTTCTCCATCATGACGTCCTTGTAGAGATCCTTGTGTCCTTCTAGATACTTCCACTCCTCTTGCTTTCCAAGCAATAAATCAACACTACTATGACAAACATTAAAGATGCTTCTGAAACAAAAAGTAAAAAAATAAGTTGTTGCTTACAAGGAGCAGACAAATTCTGGCGCAGCTGTGCATGATTCCAAATCAGCTTCTGTCTTTTATTTATTTTCAAAGCTGAACTGAACAAACTGAAGAGAGAAGCTGATTGGTTGCCATGGGCAACTGCTCCAGATTCTGTCTGCTCCAGTTTTGATCAATTCCTCCCATTGTGTTCTATTCAACCTTTACTGAGGGGCATATTTTTGGCTTTTTTTTTTAAGTTACTACAGACATGGAGCAGTTACAATCAAAAATAACTAATTCATTACAATTTAAACATTCTTATTCTGAGAGTTTATCAAAATGGGTCCTTTATGAAAGAACAGTTTTAGACAGTCTTTGCTGGTCCTAGCATTCAAAAAGATCATCCTTTTGTTCTCCAAACATAACATATCAGGAAAAAAAAGTCTAACTGATCTCCACAGTAAACATAAACTAAAAAGGGTTTTTCTCCAGATGATTTCACCGAATGAGGCTGAAAGCAGTTTAAGTTCCTCCAAGATACAGCATCCCGTGCAGAACCAGAAATATGGGTTGGCCATATCAACCAAGGCCACGGGTGGTAGGACCCTCTAGAAAGGAATTCTGTAAACCTAAAACTTGCCTCAGGCAGTGCAATGCCTCCACTTACCAACTCTTGCAGCATTCAATTAAAGGAGAACTATGGGGTCAGTGTTTTTCCCCATAGTTCTCCTTAGGGTAACGGGAGGACACAAACTAGCGTCCTCCCATTACCCTAAACTCAGTATACCGCGAGCTACTGCTCGCGGTATACTGAGACGCCGCAGCCGGAGCGGATCCCGACATCGACGTCGAGATCCGCCAAGCTGCGTGAGTGACAGCTGGCTCTGCCTATCTAGAGGGAGAGCCAGCTGTACCCTCCCCCGTCCGTTCCGCCAGTCAGCGCTGGTGGATCGGAGTGGGTAGGGGGAATCCAGCCTCTCCCCCTGTCACGGCAGAGAGCCGTGACAGGATCGAGAGGTGAGCGAACCCCGTATGTGTTCGATCACCTTCCGATCTACTGAGCCGACCTGTGACAGTCTCATTGTCATGGGTCGGCTAGAACTATGAGGTGAGTGGAAATCACTCATCTCATAGTTTTCCTTTAAATACCCATCTGATGAAATACACAATATGGCCAAAAGTTTGTGGACACTTGATCATCACACCTATATGATCTTGTTCAATAGCCCCTTCCCAAACCATGAGTATTGGGTTTTCTCCCTTGGCCACTGCAGCTATGACAGCCTCCACTCTTGTGAAAAGGCTTTCCACAATATTTTGGAACGTGTCTGTGGGAATTTCTGCCATTCAGCCAAAATTTAGTTCAGCTACTGATGTTGGATGAGAAGACCTGGCTCGAAATTGTCCCTCCAATTGATCCCAAAGTGTTCAGTAGGGTTGAGATCAGGGCTGTGGGTAGGCCACTGGAGTTCCTCCATCACAAACTGGTTGGACTTTATTTTAAGGACCTGGATTTGTACAGAGTGGCAAAGCCATGCTGGAAACTATTACCAAACTGTTACCCCGAGGATGGAAGCATACACTTGTCTAAGATGTCATTGTAGGCTGTAGCATTGACAGTACCCTCCACCAAAAACACCTAATCTCAATCGTTTGAAGGGCTATCCACATGCCTTTGACCATAGAGTGTACCGTATCAGATGGAAGCTTCTTTCTGTTCGAAAGGAACCTAGAAGTTCTTGCTCGCCATATTCAGTGATAAGGTAGCCACAGTTGGCCCCAGTTCCAAGTTCTGGGTGCACTGGCGGTGGCATAAGGACATTTTTGGGACTGTTGGAAAGTCTTCGACAAGTGTGAATGATCCTTACCTCTTTGGTGAAGCCTTCTTTCTACTGTATAGTATACAGATGATCTAGGCACCACAACTACCAATCTTGGTGGCACCAGGTTCTTCTACGACGGTTCGAAGAGTAGGCAGATATCTACCCGTTGTTCTTAGAAGGATATCTCTGCGTGTATTTTAAGCCACATTCTACGGATGTGTTTTACACCTCGGAGTGTTGCAAGGAGTTGAAGTTGATTAATTTTCTAGCCCCGATTCACCATGGGCACTGGCCACACCAACTTCTTTACTATAGATGGCAAATGTGCGTAAAATACGTAATATTTTTCTGAGTGTTAGCTTCAAAAACCTCCTTGTTCTACCCCACAGAGCTCACCATCTAATGTTCTACAGATCAGAGGTCTTGCAGGAAGATGATGATTTGTTGAGGTAACATGACCCCCAAACCCCCCACAGAGAATACTGGAACCCCTTCTCTCTTCCTCCTCTCATAATAAGAAGACATTATTACCTCTTCTTCACTGGGCAGCCATTCTCCAGGCACACACCCCCTAGCTGGAAGTTCCTGAACTGCAGGAATAATGCCTAACTCCTCGGATGGGCTACAAGAAAATGTCCGCCTACTCTAAACTGTTTGCTCTATCTCTTGGTGAATTAAGGATAAACCTAGCCAATGTATTGCAATATACAGGAAATAGTAAAGATAACATTTTATGGCCTATTTTGTTAATATTTGTTGGTATTATCGTAAATATCGTTTATATCTGGTCTTCAACAAAATGGCCGTCACGCGAAACTGTTTGGTGACAGCTTCGCTCTCTAGCGGCTGCTCTGAAAACAGCAGCCCAGTGGGCGGGGTTTTCCTTATAAGGCAGTCTTTCAGCTGTCTCCGCTCTGCGGCGGTTGCGCGCATTGTTTGGCCGCTCAGCTGTGTCTGGTTGCCATGGAGACGCGCGCGCGCAGAGGGACTGGGTCTGTCAGGGAGGTTGGCGGCCATCTTGTTGACAAATCAGAAAACTTGACAGGATTTTCCACTTGTGTCCTGGTAGCTGCTGGTGGGGTTGTGAGGCTGAAGGCTGCCTGGCCAGTGAGAAGGAGGTAATAATGGCTTGTTATTATTAGATTAGGGACAGATGAAAGGGTCCCAGCACTCTGTGCAGATTGATGAAGATTGCTGCAAGCCCTGGGCGATGAGCAGGTTATTATTTTACTCTCTGGAACCCTATAAACACATTCTCTATTCAAAATAAATCTGACGCTTTGGACAGGGCTAGGCCAATGCGTCGGAGAATTAGGCGCCCCATGCCGGGCTTGTCATTCGGTTGCGGAATTCAGCTTGGGTTCGTTTTACCTCAGCTTTGCCCTACCAGACGGGTCCGCCACTATGCCACCTACACAGCCGCTCTGCAAACGTGACCCTGGTAGATTTTATATGGCAAAACGGACTTGTTCGAAGTCTTAAGCAGTGGCCTGGCCTTGTCGATGTGTTGCTACCGCCATCCTTGAAGCCAGTTCGGGACTTCCAATGGTTTCACATGGGACCAGCGGAGCCATCTTCGTCTTCCAGTTCTGTTTCCTTTATTACTTCGATCTGCGGCTGGAGTTGCAGCTGGACACCAGATAGAATTGGCCTGACTATATCGCCCGCGGCTTGGTGCTGTGTTCCTACCGGTCGTCCAAGACTCTTCTTATCGGTTATACCTCCAACCAGTGGAATCCGCCTCATATTCTAGTTCTTTTGGCTTTATCACTTTGTCCTGGAGCTGGAGTTACGGTTGGACATCACAAAGCTGTGGCCTGGCTATGGTGATGGCGTCCCAGTGCTGTGTGGCTTTCACCATCCTTGAAGCCAGTCCCACAATCCCAGTTTTCACATTGGGCCAGCAGTGCCAGCTTGGTCTTCTAGTTCTACTGGCTTTATCACTTTGTCCAAGAGCTGGAGTTACGGTTGGACATCACAAAGCTGTGGGCTGGCTATGTTGATGGCCGCCCATTGCTGTGTGGCTACCACCATCCTTGAAGCCAGTCCGGGACTTCCAGTGGTTTCACATGGGACCAGCGGAGCCATTTTAGCCCTCCAGTTCTGCTTCCTTTATTACTTCCATCTGCGGCAGGAGTTACAGCTGGACACTAGATAGAATTGGCCTGGCTATATTGCCGGCTGCTTGGTGTTTCTAGCGGTCGTCCAAGACTCTTCCTATCGGTTATACCTGGAACCAGTGGAGTCTGCCTCGTCTTCTGGTTCTACCGCCTTTATCACTTTGTCCATGAGCTGGAGTTACGGCTGGACATCACAAAGCTGTGGCCTGGCTATGTTGATGGCCGCCCAGTGCTGTGTTATACCTGGGACCAGTGGAGTCCACCTCGTCTTCTGGTTCCACCGCCTTTATCACTTTGACTTGGAGTTACGGCTGGACACCACAAAGCAATGGCATAGCTATGTTGATGGCCACCCAGTGCTGAGTGGCTATCACCATCCTCAAAGCCAGTCCAAGACTCCCAGTGGTTTCACATGGGACCAGCGGAGCCAGCTTGGTCTTCCTTCCAGTTCTGCTGCCTTCATTGATTCCATCTGGGGCTGGAATTACAGCTGGGCACAATATAGGCTCCCAGTGGTTTCACATGGGACCAGCAGAGCCAGCTTTGTCTTCCTTCCAGTTCTGCTGCCTTCATTGATTCCATCTGGGGCTGGAATTACAGCTGGACACGATATAGACTCCTAGTGGTTTCACATGGGACTAGCTAAGCCAGCATGGTCTTCCTTCCAGTTCTGCTGCCTTTATAACTTCGACCAAGACCTGGAATCAGGGTTGGACACCTAAAAGCTGTGGCTTGGGTATAGCTGCTTGGTGTCCTTTTGCTACCTCTGTCCTGAAGGCCAGTCATGTGCTTTTCATAGCAGTTTCACCTGGAATCAAGGATCCCACCTTGTCTTCCAGGTTTGCCTCCTTCATCATTTCCACCTGAGACTGGAGCTGCTCCCAGAGACTGGCAAATTCTACATACGGGGCTGTGACTTGGCTATGTTGGCTGTCCGGTATCCAACACCATGCTTCTGCCGTTGCCCTTTTCCAGGCTCCCCTCTTCTTTAAAAGGTACTTCATCTTCCAACTCTACCACCTGCTCACTTCCACATAAGGCTGGAGCTACGGCCAGAGAGCTGGGAGCATTTACATCTGTTACGTTAATTGTCCAGCACATGTACACAAACTTGCACATCTATCCAGGTATGGACAGAGACTGCCTGTGTCCAAGGGCATGCGTTACCTGTATGGCTATGAGCACTAGCTGTCCCTCCCAGCAGCAAGTTTCTGCATGGTCGAGCATGCCGTACAGCTGTGCCTGTCCACGTGAATGAGGCCTAAGCTTATAAACCAAGAAACTCCCTCCCGCTAATGGCGTCCTAGAACATGTCTTACATTCAACAAACAGCTTTTTGGGTCCTGTGCCCTTTGGTATTACCGCTAGGTATTTTTCCTGGCACATCTGTGACTCAACCAGATGTACACATACTTTGTTGGGAGTATACTCTTTGGATGTTGATTATGACCTAATTGTATTGCATTGCAGGCAAGATGAGTGGAAGTATTTAAAAAGAAAATGACTTACTTATGGGTATCATAATGGAGAACCAGCCTCCTCTCACATCACCGGGTAAGAGGAGACTTTCATTTCTTGAGTATTGAGGATCCCCCTAGATACACACATCCTCTGATATAAAGATATAGAAACAATGTATTCAGTCAGTGTGCGTGTTTCCTACAGGTGGATCCAGGAACAGGAATGCCCCAGAGAGATGTCCCCGTCCTCTGTATTCCCGGGACTCCACACAGGAACATCAGGAGATCCCTCAGACCCGTCCTCTGTATTCCCGGGATTCCACACAGGGACATCAGGAGATCCCTCAGACCCGTCCTCTGTATTCCCGGGATTCCACACAGGAACATCAGGAGATCCCTGAGACCCATCCCCTGTATTCAGGGGGTTTTAAACAGGAAAATTACGGGATTCCAGAGGATGATCAGGTAGTCTGAAATAAGGATCTTAAAAAATAAATAAATAGATTTTTTTGTTTTTGTTTCCATGTAGCTCAGACATTGATAAAATATATGTGTTTTTTTTTTGTTTGATTAGGATGAAGAACTCATTGTCATCAAAGTGGAAAATGAAGAAGAGCTGTATGAGATGGGAGATGAGCTGTGTAAGGAGGAAGAAACCGCTCCAGAGATCAGCACAGGTGAGTAATAAACACTGAATCCAGAGAAGAGTCCCAGATTCTGCTTGTTCAATCACTACAACAATCTCTTCTTCTCCCCCCTCCTCTGTCAGTAGACAGTAATGGGGGGACGGAATGTGTCTAGTGGGGGGAGTCAGGAGCCATCAGCCTCTATTAGACTCCGGCTCTCCTCCTCACATCATGTCATTGTATGTTCCCAGCCAAGAAACGTGACCAGTCTCCCCCCACACACACTCTCTGGGGTCTCTCATACATCTCAGGGGGCTTCACTCTCATCTTTATTTACAGACCATGATTACACCAGAGTGAGAAATGTCAAAGCTGATCAGGATGAAGAAGGATATGCAAAGGTTGAAGAGGAAATTTTTACTGAGGACAATGCAGGTGAGTAATAAAACAACAAATGCAGAAACCAATCTTTGAATACTACTTGTTCCGTCACTGCGATAATTTAACCCCCATCCACTGTCAGTAGATGGCAGTGAGCTAAAAGCATGTTCGCAATGGGGATGTCTGCAGATATTAAACTCTATTAGACTTCGATTTGCCTCAGTGTATTACTTGCTAGGACAGACCAGGGCATTTTATGCCGGCAGGCCACATCCGGCCCTTTGGCTGCCCCTGTCCGGCCTGTGATCGAGACAGGGACCGATCGCCAACCTGCGCTCGGTTATGGCTGGCTGACAGTGGATGGGCCGGCCTACAAGTCCGGTGCATCCAGTGCAAACCATAGCCCAGCGCAGGCCCTCTCTTCTTCAGTGGTTGGTTGCTAGGACTGCTGGTGTCCTAGCAACCAGAGATGTCAGGTGTCCACCTCCTCTGCAGGTATTGGTTGCTAGGACTCCTCATCAGAGTGCCGCCTTACATTAGTTGCCCCCCTCAGAGTGTCCTCTTACTTTAATTACGAAAGTGGGTTGCACTCTGATGGGAACAACCAATGTAAGGAAGAAATCCGATAAGGGCCAACTAATTATTAATTGCATCCATCGGAGACTTTTATCAATTTATTTATGTTTGTGTGCCTATGCACCTTCACAGTAATGCGTTGGCTGTCCACATCAAAAAACATACACACCCATCGCACTCCTGACCGGATAGAAAACCCTAATTGTCGGATGGGTGCTGAAATGACTGCGGATGCCTCCGCAAAATAAGTCCAAAAAAAGATCACAAGCACTCCAGCATGTAGAAAAGTCAATGTTTATTGACTTCACATCAGTCTCAGTTTCTCATGTGGCCACTTGAGAAAATTAATTGCCCACCCTGAGCTAGGATATGTGACCCATCTGCCTCCCCTGACATACAGTCTCTTTATGCATTTCATTTTTAGGAAGCATCACTTATATCTTTATTCACAGAACATGAAAACACCAGAGCGTCCCAGAGATCTGCCAAATTTCAGGAAATGGAAGAAAGATGTGTAAAGATAAAAGAGGAGGACATTTCTGTAGAGATCAGCCCAGGTGAGTAATAAACACTAAATCCAGAAGAGCCACAGATTCTCCTTGTTCAGTCACTACAACAATCTCTTCTTCTCCGCCCTCCACATCTCTTTATTCACAGACTCCGGAGACAACAGGGAGACTCAAAGAAATGCCAAACCTGAGGAGGAGGAAGAAGGACATGTGAGGATTAAAAAGGAAGAAATGCCCATGGAGATCAGCACAAGTAAGTGACATGAACACTAAACCCAGAAAAGAGTCATGGATTCTCCTTCATGCAATCTGTCTTCTAAGAGTCGTTATGGTGGAGCACAGGTAGGATAGCGGGATGATGATTAAACACTACGGATGCACTGATACTAATATCGATATCGGTATCGGTGCAGATCCCGAGTATTTGGGCGAGTACTCGTACTCGGCCAAATGGTCCGATGCCTAGGCCGATACCGAGTCATTACACGCTGCCTGGCTTCCTGATTGGCTGATAAGGCGGATCCATGCTTCCTCGTTACATGGAGCTGGCCAATCAGGAAGCTGGGCAGCGTGTAATGACTCGCCACCTAGCTTCCTGATTGGTCGGGAAGCTGGCCAATCAGTAAGCCGGACGGCGAGTCATAACCTGCACCCCCCAGCTTTCTGATTGGCCAGAAAGCCGGCTTCATCCTCCCTCGTCACCTGGTTATAAGGGAGCATGGAGCCGGCTTCTTGGCCAATCAGGAAGCAGGGCAACGAGTCATTACACGTTGCCCGACTTCCTGATTGGCCAGAAAGCCGGTGTTCTGATGAAAGTTCCAATCCTCGAGATCTTCAACTGCCTGACTTCCGGTTTACTTGGAAGTAATTGGTTTGACGAAAAAACTACTGCACGTAACCCACCGGCGGCATTTCCCTATACACGTACTACACAGCAATAAAGGCTTAAAATTAAGTAGGGTCACACTAATCCAGCATGTTATCTGAGTTGCCCCGTTCAATATGGCCGCCGCTTGAGGGGGGCAACTCAGATGAATAACGTGCTGGATTAGTGTGACCCTACTTCATAATTAAAGGGGTTCTAAACCCTCCGTTTTTTTTTGCTTATACCTACTGCTAGCATGCAGTACGTATAGGCAAGAAGTGTAAAAAAAAAAAAAAACGCTTGAAATCATTTTAAACTTACCTCGTTATCGCCGCTCGCTCCCACACCGAGAATCAGGAACTGCTCGTACGGCCGCAAAGGATCTTGGGGCGGGCGCATGCGCAGTTCCCGATTCTCGGCCGGGAGACGAGCAGAGACGCAAGGTAAGTCTATGGACGCGTGCACCCGCATGCAGACACCGCTGGATCGGAGGGACAGAGCAGTCAGCGCTGGAGCGGAGTGACGTCACACCGCTGGAGGGACACATAAAAACATGGGGAAAGAAGAGGAAGACCAGAATAAGAGACATCATTTAAGGTAAATGCTAACATTTACATGGGGGGGGAGGGGAAAAAATGTTTGCCTTTAATATCACTTTAAGCCTTTATTGCTGTGTAGTATGTGTATAGGGAAATGCCGCCGGTGGGGTACGTGCAGTACCGCTTTCTCCGCCAAACCTCTTCTAACTAAACCGGAAGTCAGGTAGTTGCAGATCTCGATAAGTTGGAACTTTTGATAGAACACCGGCTTCATGCTTCCTCGTCACTTGGTGACGAGGGAGCATGGAGACGGCTAATCAGGAAGCCAGATGACGAGTCATCACACACTGCCTGGCTTCCTTAATCGGAATTTCAGTATCGATATTCCAGTAAAAACCGGTATTGGCACATCCCTCATAAACACCCAACTTCCCAACAACATGAAAGTTACAGTGTCTCAGAATAAAATTTAGACTGCCCCAACCAGATGAGGGTTAGGTGAGGACCAAGATGTTTTTGAACTGTGTAGCGAACCAACCAATGCTAAGTAGGGGAGTGGTCTCCCTATCCACAGAGGACCCAACTTAGAGATGCCTCGGGGCAGGGGGAGGCAAACTCCCGCCCTCCAGCTGTGGTGCAACTACAAATCCCATTAGGATTGGAAGACTCTGACAGTCTTTATGACTTTCTGACAGTCTCTATCTCCTTTCATTTGTTATTCCCTCCAGATGGACAATACAGAAGATACCACATGGAAGAACGTCCTGCTACTCTCCCAGATGGTGACTTAGAAGATCATGACATCACATCTGTGTCTTCAGAAGAAGACCTCATTGCTCCAGATCAACATCCAGTGCCAGGAAGGAATATTTCAGCCGACGTAACCGATGACACTTTTGAGAGTGCCGAATGTTTGGCCCATAAGGAAAAACGTATTTCAAAGCCGACAGGCCAAAAAGCAATTAAGCCGTACTCATGTTCAGAATGCAGGAAAAGTTTTTCCCAGAGGGGCTATCTTCTCTCGCATAAGATCAGCCATACAGGAGAGAAGCCATTTTCGTGTACGGAATGCGGCAAATGTTTCACCTTCAGGTCCAGCCTCTTTGTACATCAGAGAACCCACAAAGGGGTGAAGCCTTACTCCTGTTCGGAATGTGGGAAATGTTTCACTCGTAGATCCGGTCTTATTGAGCATCAGAGAATTCACAGCGGCGAGAAGCCGTACGCGTGTTCTGAATGTGCAAAATGTTTTTCTCAGAAGCAACACCTTATTGCGCACCGAAGAACTCACTCAGCCGAGAAACCATTTTCCTGTTTGGAATGCGGGAAATGTTTTTCCCACAGGTCGCGTCTGATCTCCCATCAGGTCACTCATACGGGGGAGAAGCCATATTCATGTTCTGAATGCGGAAAATGTTTCTCTTTCAAACATCTACTACTTCTACATCAGAGAGCTCATGCGGGAGAGAAGCCATTCTCCTGTTCGGAGTGTGGAAAATGTTTTTCCCAAAGAGGAGATCTTACCTACCATCAAATGATTCATACGGGGGAGAAGCCTTATTCTTGTTCAGAATGTGGAAAGTGTTTTGCTAAAAGGTCACATCTTGCTAGTCATCAGAGAACTCACACTGGTGTGAAGCCGTATACGTGTTCGGAGTGTGGGAAATGTTTTGCTAAGAGGTCATACCTTACCGTACACCAGACAACTCATTCGGGGGTGAAGCCGTTTTCCTGCTCCGTATGTGGTGAAAGCTTCTTTCTAAATTCGTCTCTTACTAGGCATGAAAGAATTCATACCGGGGTTAAGCCACATGCATGTTCGGAATGCGGGAAATGTTTTACAGAGAGATCTAGTCTCATTGTTCACCAGCGAACTCACACAGACGTGAAGCCGTATTCGTGCTCCGATTGCGGGAAACATTTCACTCGAAAAACCGGCCTGATCGAACATCAGAGAACTCACAGCGGCGAGAAGCCTTATTCGTGTTCCGAATGCGGAAAGTGCTTCGCCACCCGATCGTATCTTACCAAACACGAGAAAGCTCACTCAGGGGTGAAGCCATTTTCCTGCTCCGAGTGCAGTAAAAGTTTCCACTTCAAAGCGGATCTTAACAAACACAAAAAAGTTCATGCAGGAGATCTTAAAAAACCCCACAGAGGGAAAGTCGCACATCTGAAACCTTGTTGCGTCTCAAATAGTTCGCACAGATGTGTTCCGGATTTGGTGATCTGAGCATGGGAAAGGTACAACCGAGAGATCAAATCTAGCTGCACTTTATCAAGTCCACACTGTGGCCTCCCCTGTGGCCTGCGCATCAGTTGCCTTGGTGACTAGAGATTCCTGGTTCAGGCTGAGCGCTTGTTTAATGGAGCCACCATTGCTTGCAGAATTGAGGTTCCGTGATATTAATGAGGGTTAAAGCGGACTTTGCAGTAAAAGCGAGGCCTACTTACATATTAGGGACCCCCCAACAAATCAGGAAAACAAGGCATTAAATATACTTACCTTGCCCCCAGCTTCTATACTACAGCGGTGATGTCACCATCCTTCCAGCAAGATTCCAGAGAACTCGGCACTCCCTGGAAGAGTAGTGACATCCTCGCTGAGGTGCTGTATATCACGATCTGGGGTCCGGGGCACTGGTTTGTATAAGTTCCGGGTCTTGCAGAGTGGGTTAGGATTGCTGGCTGAGGTGATGCATGGAATGCTAGTCACAGAAAGCTTGGGGACTAGGAGTCTGTGTGCGTTTTCAGGGACGCACTAGAGGCGCAGGATCTAAGAAGGGCCAGGTTTTCCACAGAGCCTCTAATGGTGACGGATGGTTGGCTGCTTCCAGGTTGCGGCCCTCTAGCACACCCGCACAGACTCAGGGAACTGGTTGCACAACCGGGGCTCAGGACACACAGACAGACAGGGCAAGGCCTGTACACAAACAGCAGTACAGGATACAGAGGGACACAGGAGCAGGGGTCCAGAGATAACAGAAGCAAGGCAGAAAGGACAAACAGCCGCACAGGAGGAAGAGGATCTCACAGGGAGCGCAAGGGAATGACAGGAGACACCAAGCAGGTGAATAGTAATCCGCAGGGATCCAAGGCTACAATAGCACACGGGGGGGATGGGGGGTCCGGCTAAGTCAAATGACACGTTGCTCGAAGGCTGAGAAACGAGCCAGCAGAAGATTTAACACAGAGGTTCAGATCTGATTGGCAGGAAGCCGAGGACCTGGGGGCAGGAAGCAAAACCCGGTGCCGGATCATGGCACAGGGAAGTGTGACACTGTAGATAGAAGCTAAGCGTAAAGTAAGAGTATTTAATAACGCTTTCCCCACAGTTTTATTTTTATCACATACAGTGGAAAAGGGGGCCCTATATAGTAGACCTCATTCACGCAGGCGGTCTGTCTCCTTGATGCATCCGTATAGCCGCTGTGATCAAGTCACAGCCTCTCATACAACCCTATGAACCAGGCCCCTAGTTCCGCCCCACACATGTCAGCGTGCGGAAATAGAGGAGTCATGGCAATATGGTTCAACAGTTCATGCTGTCAGCAGGCAAGTCCTTTCAGCATGCACGCCCATGCAGAGACCAGCTCCCGAGGTTCAACGTGTAAGCAGCGTGTACCTGGACTGGCATACAGCCATGTCCTCTCATAGGCATGCACAGGCGGCTGCGACTAAAAGGAATTGCGGCACTCCTGTGCCTACTGAAGATCGATGTGTAACCTTTCATTCATCAATCAGCATGCAGCGTTTTATGCATATGTGCACTTGATCATAGAGCTTTATGATTAAAGGAGAACTATGGGTTCAGGGCTTTCCCCATAGTTCTCCTAAGGGTAACGGGAGAACACAAACTAGCGTCCTCCCGTCACCCTAAGCTTCGTATATAGAGAGCTACAGCTCGCAGTATACTGAGACGCCGCAGCCGGGACGGATCCCGACATTGCTGTCGAGATCCACCCAGCTGCATGATTGACAGCTGGCTCTGCCTATCTAGAGGCAGAGCCAGCTGTACCTGCCCCCTCCCAAGTCCATTCCGCCAGTCGG